TTGGACAACTAAAAATCTATATAGAAAAAATTAGCGGGGCATGGTGGCACATGCCTGTAGTCCCAGCTACTCGGGAGGCTGAGGCAGTAGGATTGCTTGTTTGTTTGAGGTTGCTGTGAGCTAGGCTGATGCCACGGCACTCTAGCCCGGGCAACAGAGTGAGACTCCTGTCTCAAAAAAAAAAAAAAAAAAAGATTCATACTTTAGGGACTGGTGTTAAAAAAAAAAAAAAAAAAAGATTCATACTTTAGGGACTGGTGTTTTTCCAAGCTTCTAAAAACAAGTTGGACTTAATGAATTGCTCAGAAAAGGCTCTACGAGTGCCTTCTGAGCTCCAGCCTGTCTGATCAAATCAAATTTTATTTCTCTACTCACCTCCCTAGACACGTCAGGTCTCATAAGCTGAATCTTCCCCTGGGTTGTCACTTTTCCAGGCTCTTGATCTGGTTGGCAAGATATCCTGTTTCCAAGGGGGGAGTCCAGACATATCTCTCTTTTGGATCTATCTTCTCCTTCCCCTCTGTAAGCCTTTCCTGTACCAGGCAACCAAAACCCTTCTCTGTCAGGGCAACAGGCTTTACCACATCACTCACATATCAGAGAGGGCTTCCACCTGGTCACACCCACCAAAAGTAATCTATGAAAACATCTTCATTTGTCCTGTTGAGCAAGCAGGCTTAGAACACCACATTGAAACAGACAAATCACTTGGCTACCTGAAATTCAACATTACTCCACAGTGCCACTGAATCTAAATTTCTGTAGTCCCTGAACAAGATACAATCAGCACAAAAAATACACAAAAAGTATTCATAGGAGCACTATTAGTAATATGCCCAAACTGGAAACTATCTAAACGTCTGGCAACTATAAAATAGATACATAACTGAATACCATTAGAGGAAGGAGAATGAAAAAAATAAACGACTACAGGCAGTATCAGATGGATTTCACAAACATAACAAGCAAAACAATTCAGATGCAAAAGAGCATATACTGCAGGATTCTATTCATGAATTTTAAAAAACAGGCAAAACTAAACAAAGTCAGCATATTGGTTACTCCTGGGAGCATGAAGGGAGGAAGACTCTGGGGTGCTGGTAATTTTCTATTAATTGAGGTACCTGTTACAGAGGTGTGTCTACTTTGTGACAATGACTCCATCAAGCCATCCACTTACGATGTGTGTGCACTTTCCTCTATGTGTAAGATATTTCAATAAAGAGCCAACTCAGAGAGACCCCTGAGATCATCTGGTCTGTCTGTGCCCCTCAGTTGGCAGAGGAGTAACTGTGTCCCATGGAGCTTAAATATCTCAAGGACACAGAGGAAATCCACAGAAGGGCTGAGACTGGCCATCAGATCTCTTAACTCCCCACACAGGTACCAAAGCTACCTCTCGAACATGGGAGAATGCTTCTCTAACCTCCTTCTTTGCTGTGACT